GAAACATTGGTAGTCAGCCGGAATGCCCCAGTGCTTTAAAATTGTCGAAAATTTTTCAATTGATTTATTGCATAGCAATGAGAGGGAGAAGTGTTTTGCTGATCAAAATCCCAAACGCGCAGCGCAAGACATTTTGTTGCGAAACTTATCCCGATCGTTGTAATGCAGAACAACTTGAGAAAAATTTTCTATAATTTTAGAGTACAAGGGACATTCGCTTGCATTATTTCTCCCATTCGAATTGCCATCCGATAGAATAAAGTATTCGACGCTTTTGCGGGTTAAAACCATATTCATACTGAAATTTCATTTATTTAACTTCCCACACACTAAAAAAAAATTAGGTACTAATATTTCCAGAGTGTGGGGTTCAAGATTTCACTGTTAAAATCAACTCTGTATGGGAGTTCAATTCCCCTTCAGCCCAGAGTCAAATTTTGAGCACGGTTTGGGTTTTTATTTTCCACACCTACAGTCGACTAGTCACGAAAACTGAATGAGTGTCGGGCAGATGAACAATAACACCGACTCCATACTTTGTCTCCATCTTGCGAGCTGCGGTGATGGCATAAAAAGCTCCAATAAAAAGATTCCAGATCCCCCAGTTTCACAAGAGGAACATTTTTCAATTGCGCCACAAAGTTGATTTTGTTGAAATCCATGATGCTCCAGTACTGAATTAAGCTCGAATATGAGTCTTCTCGAGATGTGAGTAGATTACTTTGATGTCACTTCGGAAGTGGATAACTTGTTTCACTTTTTGAATATTCTTCAGGAGAAGATCTAAACGTTTCTTTAATTCCGTCACTTGAGACTGTTCTTCATAGAGAGCGATCAGGCAAACTGATGATGAATGCTAGGGAACGGGCCCAAGAAATAGCCAGGGAATAACAGAACAATTTTAGACGAATGATAATTGGGGAATGGGCTCAAGAAATAGCCAGGGAATAACAGAACAATTTTAGAAGAATGAATATTGAGGAACAGGCCCAAGAAATAGCCAGGGAATAACAGAACAATTTTAGAAGAATGGAAATTGTAGAACGGGCCCAGAGACTACGGTGTTAAGAATTTGAAGGGAAAGTGAGTTTAATTATTTCACTCAAATATCCAGAGTCTAATAAATTATTTGAAGAATTTCGCGGACGTCAGAGAGGTGCAGCTGCTGAGGGCAATTGAACTAAGAGGCCTCATAAATGTTTCGGTATTTCTAGAAGCTAAAATTAATCAGTTGTGACATCCGTCGAAAATATTGAATTCACTTTTTCGTTTTTTTTAAATAAATTAAATAATATTCGAACGGGAAAAACCGTTAAAATTAAAACTTTCTCTCGCGCCGGGATTTTTAGTTGAAAAGGCCCCGAAGGCCAGCTGCAAGTCGTAAAATTGCAGTTAACATTTTCCGAGCTGACTTTTCCCCGATAAGTCAGTCATAAAGTAATAGACATGGGTCAGGGTCTTGTCATGCTGAAGGCATTTCAAGTGCACGCCCAGTCTATCTCTTTCTTTCTCTTTGTCTGGTAATTCCAACGTGACGTGTCCAGTATTTAAGTGTATTGGGGAATCTCAAACTGTCCCTTATCTTAACTTGGGGTCTGTTTTCTTTCAAGACCCAGGCCCTCGTAAAACCAAATCCGAATTTCCGTCCCGTTTTGAAATCTTAATGGGGGTTCTTCGAGTTTCTCTTCGTAACGGGAAGTCATAAATTTATTTTGACAATTTTCGAATGTTTAAAAAAAATATTCTTTTAAATTAATAATTTCAGTGCAGTTTAATTGCAAATTTTATGACAATTATTTTTATGTTAAAAACTTTTCGTTAGGACAATTTTAACTTATACTTTTGAATTATTTTCAATTCGAAAGAATATTTCAGTTAATCCAATTATATATTTCGTTACGAATTGAACTCCATTTAATTCTCTTTATGGAAAATTATTTTCATTTTCTTTTTTTTTATTTAAAAAATTTCCCATTTACGGATCCAAATAATTAATTTTCATTTCTCTGAGATAAACGAGAACGGCGTAATAAAGAATTATTACTTAGAATAAATAATTTTAATTATCCGAAATAATGTTCGGGAATATTGAAATATGTTTAAGATTATTAAATAAGAATTATTAGTTAATAATTAAATTGTTTAATTTGTATTTTTTAAATAAATGAGATTGTGGAGNCCACACTCTCGACATCTCGATGTAGAGGGGTCGGAGTTAACCCTGAAACATTGAGAGCGGAGTGCAAGGAAGGGAAATTCGGGCCCAAGGTCATCGACTATTGGTTCCCTAGATTTTCCCTCCGTACATCTGAGGACACACCCTCAGGCTGGGGTAACAAAACCACTTGCGCGTCGTTTTGTTCCTCAGTATTTTCCATTGTAGCTTTTCAAGTGCCACCGTGACCTTTCAAGTTTTCCAACGTCTTTCATGACTTGGATTTTTCATTAAGTCTTTCGTGGCTTAATTTTACAAGTCTTTCAAGACTTCTTTTATTACAAATCTTTCATGATTTGTTTTTCATTTCAAGTCTTTCGTGGCTTAATTTTACAAGTCTTTCAAGACTTCTTTTATTACAAATCTTTCATGATTTGTTTTTCATTTCAAGTCTTTCGTGGCTTAATTTTACAAGTCTTTCAAGACTTCTTTTATTACAAATCTTTCATGATTTGTTTTTCATTTCAAGTCTTTCGTGGCTTAATTTTACAAGTCTTTCAAGACTTCTTTTATTACAAATCTTTCATGATTTGTTTTTCATTTCAAGTCTTTCGTGGCTTAATTTTACAAGTCTTTCAAGACTTCTTTTATTACAAATCTTTCATGATTTGTTTTTCATTTCAAGTCTTTCGTGGCTTATATTTTTGTGTTTTCAATTAGTGTAATATTTGGATTGTCTCGAGACAACATTAAAAAACAAAATTTTAATCATAAAGATAGTGCGGCATTATTACTAAATTGTTTAAGTGAAAAATTGAAACCTTTGGGATTTAGCAGAGAACAACAAATTGTAAGTCCTTTGACATTATAAATTTTTCAGTGTTTTTATTTTAAAATATAGACTCTTCGGAGTCATTTGAAACCAAAATTGTGTTTTAGATTTTCTTTTATTTATCTCTATCCAGTGGGTTTTTGTTCTTGAGAATTGTTCGGATCTCTAAAAATTAAAGTCAGTGATTGAAGTTTGAGTCATTTCATTTTTGTTTTAAAAATTTTAGAGTCCACCTTTCAGGTCAAAAGTTAGTTGAATAGAAATAAAAGATTACGTCATTTTCTTGCCGTGTTGACGTGACACAGTTAAAAGTATTATTTACAATATTTATCAATAATAAAATAACTCATTTTACATACATGTTTATTAGAGTTTTATCGATTGCGTGAAGTTATTCTGGATTCAAATTATCCACTTATTCTAGTAAAAATGGCTACTCTAGGGACTCTAAATAACGCTAGTTACCTACGTGACAGGGCTACGATGGAGCAACCGTCCGGCGGTGGTCCCCTTACCACCTTTTTTCGTACGTTGCCATTCGAGTACCGAGAAATTCAAAGATCGAAATTTGTCAAAGTTTCATCTTCTCAATTCTCATTGGATCTTTCCATCGTGGAAAATCCTGACTGAAATAGAAAATGACTTGGGCAAATATTGTTTTCTGGAGAATGGGGATTATTACTGTAATTTCTTTATATTTTTGCAATCCTTTTTTTACCAAGAAATTCGAGGATCAACATTTGTCAAATTTTCATCTTGTCATTTCTCTTTGAATCTTCCTATCATGGAAAAGCCTGACTGAAATAAAAAAACAAACTTGGCAAATATCGTTCTCTGAATCATTAGGAATTGTAGCATATTATTTAAAAAAAAATTTCCATCAATAAATTGAACATTAAAATCTCCACAATTTTCCATTTCTCCCCTTACATTTTCCTCTGATCGCAACTCTTAATCTTCATTCAATCATCCAAATCCACCAGGAAAGATTCATCTCTACAGCGTGGCAAATTCCCCTAATCTTTCCGCTCAATAGTCCTTTCCTAAACTATTGAAATATTCTGTTACCTATACAGCGCCATCTCGCGACATTTTTCCTTCTTCATTACTCATATTTTTCCCTCTACGTTGTTTCCTCATCATGATGGAGCAACTTCTCATATTTTTGTTTTCCTCTCATATACCAACTTCACACTAGTTCACAACATAAATTTTTCTACTCACGTTAATTCAACGACTTTTGTTTTTTTTTCGAATTTTCGTTTGTCTCTGAAATTTTTCTCCTCGATTCTTTCTCAACAATATTATACAAAAGCTTACGCCAAATGCACGCCCCTACTCATCACTAAAAAATATTTTCCTATTTATCACATTATAAACTGTGACGAGGCATATCCATTTATTTTTTATTATTTTTCTACATATTTTTTCTCACTACACACTGTCCCCTAAAAGGTAAATCCCGCCACCATTGGATACCCCTTCCCCAGATTTTTCCCCTCATCGCCCCTCTACCCCGCCCATGGACATCACGAAGACATCAGCCGAAGGAAGACATCAGTTCCGGCCCCACCCGATCAATTGGAGAAGCTATCGCCTCCTGGAAATTCCCCATACTAGACCCCCGAATATTCAACACCAGCAATAATCCCTTGCGAGACATCCCTGGATTGTGGTCATCGTCACCACTCACCCGTGCTGATTGGCCCCGATTGCTCCCGAATTAAAACCCGAAGGACATCGACACCTGACGAACCCCCACGAATCGCGAAGGAAAAGAAGAGACCGTCACTCGTGCATTAGCTGCCCCGTGAGTCGCCACGTGCCCCGAAAGTAGTAATAGTGAATACAGTCAAATTCGCCTGGAAGTATTGGCGGATAAAAAGAGGATTTTCGATACATCGAGCTCATCCCAGCTCTAGTATTGGTGCCCAGGAAACCCCGAGGTGGAAAGGAGGCTCTCCAGGAAAACGCCCTGGTATTTTGAAGGAGTGCAAGGCGCCGGTGGAATTCCACGTGTTCGCCAGAGTGAAGTCCCATCGTGAGTACGAGTTACCCCCCTCATTTTCCCTCTTGTCCCCACAATATTACCCTTCATACCCCCCAACGGTGAGCCTACATTCTTTTGTTTCTTCCCCATTTAGTTATTCTTCTTATATTTAGTTGCATTCCCTCGACACGACTAGCTTCTCCCCTTTTTCTGCATTAGAGTCACTCCCCTTTTTACGTGTACAAAAGTTGCCTGGCCTTACCCATAACCCTAGATCCAAGTAAAAGGCATTTCAAACGTCTTACGACGATCTAATCTGTAAATTACTAGAAATATAGATATTTAGTTAATTTTATCCCTCATTTGTCCTCATTATTTAATTGCCCTAAATCCCCCTTTTAGGAAATAATATTAATTAAATATTGAACGGTCACAATACAAATCCATGCGTAGAAAATATTGACTGATATGCTTCATGTATACACGGTGTTCATTTCTTATTTGAGATCAGAAATCCGCTTTTGCAATACGTGTCCATTTTCTTACCAATCGTTCATGAAGATGCCCCCTCATAGTGCCCATGTTTTTAACGATGCCATCTGTCGGAGATTTTACTGAAGCTTATTCTCATTCGTGTTTTGAATTCGACTTGTAGACATACAATTCGTCTTCTATTCTCATTCGATTTTTTCATTCAAGATCTCATTCGAGATTTTTGATGCTCTTCTTTACATGTAAGGATATGGGAAATGAAAAAATAAATCAACGCCACCTGCGCACTCCGGTTTCTGGTAGTCGGAGAAGCATTAGACTTTCCGTGAGTTAATTATTGCCAGTTATTGACATCCTCCAGGGCTCGTCATCGAAAAACCACTGAATCCAGCAGTATTCAGGAAACTTTCAACTGAATATTACTCAGAGTCAATTTACTAATGGGATATAAATGTGGCAGTGTTGCTCCCATTCTTTCATGATTAATAAGGAAAATCGATCAAAAATTATGTTCCAACTGCTGCCGATTCTTCATAGCTCAATTGAATATGTTTTTAATTGAGCAATTATAATTTGGTAAAAATTATACAAATTGTTATGCACTGCGGTCGTCTGGTAAAAACTCGTAGATCCAGTGATTAACAATAAGAATACACAACAAATGAATGTTGAGCAATCGGTATTGATACTAAATCTACAAACAACGAAATAGATGATAATGTAATACGATTACCGAAGCGAATCCCCTTATCAGTGTTATTGACGCGCCACCGAATTGCGTCAGCATAAATTCAATACTGAATATTATCATTCGAATGAAACTCCGAAGCCAACTCGTGTCGACCGCATCTACCGGTCAACAGTGAAAGTGTTGCTCAACTCATTCCAAATTACAGGTGTTTAGTTTGTCGAAGAAGTTTCCAATATTCCGGGGGAATTCGGTCGATCGCAGTTATAATAACGGCAGTAATACAACATTTTGGATGGATCATGGTTTGTGCTGGGCGATTTTCTTTCTTAATTAAATTGGTAAGATATTCAACTCATTACTCATTTTTACCAATAATGCATGGAAAATATGAAAATTGCAAGTGCTTCTCCTAAAAATTCATTCTGGATGAAAGTGATAAGATTTGGATCCAAATATATATCTGACATTATCTGTTGATAGAGACCACAGTCGAGATTATTTTGCGCCTCTACCACGAGGCATGGCACCATAATTCCTTTCAGACTGTCTGATATTGGTGAAGGGATTCGCGAAGTTACGCTGAAAGAATGGTAAAAAAAAAGAACAACTCTAAGCATTCAATAGTGAAGTGCTATTTTGCGAGTATCTTTGAAAATATGAGTCTTCGGAAACTTAATCACGGTATCCTTTATATAGAGTTTTACGAAGTATAAGAAGACCGAATTTTTCGACATCTCAGAATATTCTCAGAAAATAATTCAGACTATTTCTTTCTTCAGAATCTCGACCAATAGAATCGTTGCATTGGGGAAAGTAACATGGTATCATTTCGATAATTTTTGGTTATACCCAGTTACCCATGGCGAGTAAGAAAGTATTTGCAAACAATTCTTTTCGTCGAAATTTTGAAGAAGGAAATAGCCCGCCGAGTACCACTCGAGCTTCAAAATGAATCAAGTATTTCCCTCAAGCTTCCCTGTATAGAAACGAGCGTATCAAATTTTGCAGGTTGAACAATCCAGAGGGCTTGCGCGAAGGATTTTTTATGCAAAACTTGACATTCTCATTTATTTGCAATGAAGCTATCGGGAAATACCCAATCATTTTGAAGCTCTCGTAGTATTATAACTGATAATTCTTCAAATATCTCCAAAACACGTTCACGAAAGAAACCTTGAAAGTTTTTTACGGAGAATTTTCTGAAAATTATCTCGAAAGAATGGGCTTAGGTATTTGTCTCAAAGCGGACCAGTTTTCTACATACTCTCAAAACACTATAAAATTAACATGTTTGAACTTGGACTATATTCGCATAGAATGACAAATGTTTATTGACAAACTCTTGAATTTTAGGTTCGTTAAACCCGGTGACAAAGTCGCTCAGTTTAATGAAATCTGTGAGGTGCAAAGTGACAAGGCTTCTGTAACAATAACGAGTAGATACGATGGCCATGTAACAAAACTTCATTACAAAGTTAATGAGGTTGCACTCGTAGGTGATGCGCTGGTGGACATCGAGCTTGAAGATGGTGATGCCAAAGTCGTTAAAGAAGACTTTGAAGCCAGTGAAGTACCTTTCCAACTTCATAACGAAATCGTGGGGGATTATTATGATAAAAATGGCAGGGTTTTAACGACGCCGGCCGTTAGGAGAATTGCGGCAGAAAATAATGTGAAATTGAAGAAGGTTCCTGCTACTGGAAAGGCGGGAAGAGTTCTCAAAGAAGACATTCTCGCATTCTTAGAAAAACAAAAAGGAAACCATAGTACAAAGTCAATTGATGCTGTTCAAGTATTTGAAAGAAACGACAAAAACGAAAATATTGCAAGGAATGATGTGGAAGTTGTTACGCTGAAGGGATATCAAAGACACATGTGGAAGACTATGACACAATCTCTTGTGAGTAATTTTGATTGAATTTTCCGTGAAATTTTATCAATTGAATATTGTAATACGGCATTAAAATAAATCACTACCTCGCCGATTCAGTTTCCGAACAATATCGCGAAATCCCAGAGCAATTGGTTCCTCCCCAGCGGAATTCTTAGGGAGTATCCGGTACTCAAATTTCAAAGAATTTCTAACCGTTTGAGCATCAAATGGTAACGATGTCAATTGTTAGTCAGAGAAAAATCTAAATTGTAAACGATTACGAAAACATCTCCGTTAGATGTATGGTGAAAAAGTGGCTAATCGAGATTTTTGTTCCTGCATGTGGAGTGAGATGAAAGATATGGGTTTTTAACAGGAGGGTGATTTTTGATTAATTTATGTTTGTCGATTAATAACATAATAACAAAGCGTCGGAGAGAAAAATTTTATAAGACTCTTCGTCTCTATATAACTCCTCAAAATATCCTCGAAATATGTGCCTTGAGTCTTTGTATATGAACTTATATTTTTAAACAAAATAAGAAAAAAAAACAGTAGATTGTGCACCAAGAGAGAAAAACAGGACATTTTAACGCGCCAGTTTTTATGTTCTGTTATTTTTCCTCGGTACACATACTCTTTTTAGTCATAACTGCACGGTTTAGTTCGATTTTTCTTCGTAAATGCAGGGAAGAAGGTGGGTTATGTCATTCGGAGGATCGTCAAAAACAACAGAAATCCGAGGAATGGAAGAAGCCACTTTCCTCCCATCATTTGGGGAGGAAAATCGAACTTTCCATGCAGATATGACGAAATAGTATATTGTGCTTCAAGGGCGGAAAGTGAAGACTTTCCGCCCGAGGGCCACATGCGACTTTTTAACACGCCTGCAAAGGAAAGTTCGTATTTTTCTTTTCGATCAGCGGGAGGAAAGTATGAACTTTCCGTACAGGGGTGTGAAAAAAAAATTCCTATCTGCTTTCTACAACTACTTTTTCCGAAAACGGACGTTGAAGTAGAATTGACTGATTTCGTGCAATTAAGTTTCTAGTAAAATGATTGCGATATTTCATTCTTCATATTTGTTTTTCCATTTCAGAGCATTCCACATTTTGCTTACTCCGATGAGTGTGACATAACAAAACTTTTAGATCTACGAAATGACGTGAAAGATTTCTTAAAATCAGAGGGTATATCACTAACACTCATGCCATTCTTCGTAAAAGCAGCGTCAAAAGCTCTGGAGAAATATCCACAATTAAATGCGTGGTTGGATGAAGACAACCAAAGCTTAAAAGTATTCAGACGTCACAATATTAGTTTTGCTATGGCCACACCTGAGGGCCTGGTGGTGCCAAATATCAAGAACGTTCAGGAGCTTTCCATCACCGAAATCGCCAAGGAATTGAATAGACTTCAGGAGCTGGGGAAAAAAGCTTCATTACCTCTTTCTGATCTGCATCAAGGGACTTTTTCACTTTCTAACATAGGAGTTGTAAGTCTGAATACTAAAACGCATTGTCTTTCAATGATAATTCGGGAATGTACCAGTAGAATCAGTAAAGGGGAAGCTCACCCCAATGTAAAAACTTTTCGAGAATGGCTACAGTAGTGGCCATGCGGGTAGTGTGCGCCTCTGGCGGTGGTCCAGGCTAAGCAGCGTTTAATCTGCTTAGCAGAAATGCCTCCAAGTGAACGATTCAATTTTTTTAATAGAAAACTGAACTTGGGAAAAATCTCCATCTTATAAATTTTTATGACTTCCAATATAATGTGATCACCGATTTTTATTCCGCTATTATGAACAATGTGAGAGAAGATACAGTCGAAATTTATACGTCAATCTGAACTTCGGATTGTATATAAGAAACATCATGGTTTTGTATAAATATACACTTATAGAATAAACTATTATATGGCTGGATATGGTCGGACGATAGCCTCTAAAAAAAAGAAGGAAAAATGGACAGAAAAATACTATCGACTATTTCGATTTCAATTTATTTGCCCAATGGAATGGAAAAATTCAACTAGACGAATCTCCAATAGGGACACCATTTCAAAATGAGACAAAATTCACATTGATAAATAAATTTTTTAACGCATCTCCTCTTATATCTTTCACAACTAAGAAGCAAAAATTGAGGAGCATATGACATCAACAGTCAAAGCAATTTATACGGGGACATTATAGTACATTCTGTCATAAGGCCGTGAAGCGTGGTCTAACATACGAGTGTGAAGTTTGCCCTACGAGCCGAAGGCGAGTAATACTATTTTTTATCACGGACATGCCAAATGCGAAGTTTCCCCCACAGGCAGCACGTAGGCGCGGTGGCGGACGTGGAGGCGCAGGGTGGCGGGGGTCCAGAGGGGCGAAGCCCTCCCACTGAAGAAAGTCCAATAATCGAAAGAAAATATAGTTTAGTTATTTTTGCTGATAAATTAGCAATATGCTTTCGAATGATTATTTTGCACATTATTTCCCTCTATCATATATAATTCATTGTTTATTCCATTTTATTGAATTGAATAAGATTTCCTTTTACCTAATTTTGTCAGATTTTCAACTTAGTTGAATGTTATCAGTATCATTATTTTTATTATCCCTTTTCTTCTATACAACGGATTGCCTGTTTTACAGTTCTATCTCTCCTCTCAGCCCTTCGATAAAATGTGAATAGAAAAAAAATTTTCTATTTACACATACTTGAATGAATTTGGAACATTACATTTGAAGAAACCATCAAAAAAACTCGCTTTCAGGGCAAATCACGAAAAATTCGAAATTTTCAACAATCATCACAAAAATCAAATCAACCAATATAGCTATCGTAATCGTCTTCTAACTTCCACATAATCGCGTTAAAAAAAATAGTTTAAGCATGATTAAATTCATTTGGAGCATGATATTCAAAGATATCCCCGGAATTTTTATTTTCAAAAAGTTCAGTTTTTCAAAATTTTCGAATAAATCAAAATAACAATTATTGTTATCACCTTTATCTTCGAACTTTTTCAAAAGGACATACAAACAAATTTTTCAAGCAATCATTCAATCAATTCCGAACATTTTGATTTAGTTATCGTGAAACAACCGATTTTCGAAGACTACTTTAACACCGCCACAATATTATCTTGGCAGAATAACCAAGAACACACGATGAATGACACTTCATGTCTAACATATGTAGTACATTACACATCTTATGAAAATACATGGATTTATTTTCGAATCATGAACTTAAACAATTAGGTAATACTGCAGGCTCATTTTACGCATCTTGATTGAAACATTCGATGCATCTACCGAATTACGTTGCACATAATTTATGAACATATGTTCAATCAGACATTCTCTAAATGCACTTTCACGAAAAATACATTGTACACTTCGAATTCCCCATTTTGGTCATATGAGGGTTATATGAGGGTCATGGGGGGATTGGGGTATGGGGGACATGGGCTTTATGGAGAAATTATATGTGGATCATATAGACGCCATAAATTAGGCCTATAAAGGTCTTATGGATGTCACGAGTGGTGATATACAGTTATATAGGGCTCATAGCGGTTAATAGAGGTGACATGGGAATCGTTAGGGATATAGGGGATCATATGGAGGTCATATAGAGGTTTTCTGGACATAACAAAGGAGCATAACTGCGCACTCTAATTTTGAGAGTGCGAAGAGGGTGAAATTTGGGGTCGAAAGTTCCTGTTCCACTTTGTTGTGCGACGCACCCCTGCCGAGTTTTTCAACATTGAAGTTGACCAATCACAGCGTTGCTCCGCCCACTGGACCAATGGTTCTCAACTCAATCGTTTTTGAATGAGAAAAATGGTGATTATGAAATTTTCTCTTAGGGTNCAGATGTCCAGGTAGAGGTCCGGATTAAGTTTGAGTGCTAGGAATTCTTCCAGGTGAGGGGAAAATTCCCGGAAGAGTTCCAGCTTCAGGTCCAGGACTGTGAAGGGTCCCAAGGAGAGGTCAGGTTCAGGTACTGTTCCAGGTAGAGGTCCGAGTTCTGGAACTTTTCCGGATAGAGGTGCCGGTTTGGAAACTGTTCTAAGTGGAGGCGCAGATTCGAGAACTGTTCTGGGTGCACCTCCAGCTCCGGGAATGGTTCCGGGTGAACGTCCACGTCTGGACATTGTTCCAGATGGACGTCCATGTCTAGGAACTGTTCCAGGTGAAGGTGTCCCCAAACCCCGATATTGTTTTGACACTAGGCCGTGAAGATATTTCCTGGCGAATATGACGTTATAGGACAAGCCGAAGGTTAGTTCTGTAATCATATGAGATAGAAAAGTTCTTCACGGCCCTATATCGAGTAATATTTTTTATCCTTGGACCGAAAATCGCGGTTTATGGGGCCTAATGACAAAAAACTTTTCTGGCGAATATGAGTTGCAATGATATGATGACCTGGAAAAGTTTCTTTCGGCCTAATGACTGAAAATACACGGATAAAGTATACTATTTCGCCCATGTGGCGAACGATATTTTCTTGTCATTCTGACCGTAAAGCGCACTTAATGGATGCTACGCGTCCGAAAATCACTGCCTAAGGCCGTTATGATAAAAGGTATTATTCGATACACAACCTAAAAAAATTTTCCTAGTTCACATAATGTCAACCCTCGCCGTCGGTTCGGGCTGCAACCTCATATTTGCCAGAAAAGTTTTTTCTACGCATTTTGATGAAAACCGCCATTTTACAGACCGTTGTTTGAGAGGAAAAATCGTGTTTTACAGTGTGGTACCGCCCCTATCCTTCCCCGACCAATGAGAGCACAATACGTCGTTGAACAGTTCATAATAGTACATTAGAGTACAAGGGCACAAATTTCATTTTCAACGAATGTGTAGTTTACAGGCCGAGCCGAAGGCGAGGTCCGTACATACATTCGTTGAAAACGAAATTTATTACCGAGTGCTCTATAATATTTTATGTCAAGTCGTGCAGAAGTCGAGTTTTGAGCAAGCTGGGCGAAGCGTAGCGTGGGATAAACTCGACTTATTGCACGGCGCGACATAAAATTTATTTTACGAACCGTTCAGCTACAACTGTATGGATGAGGTATTATGCTCCTATTGGTCAACACTGATGTCAAGCGTCCAAGCCGCTAGGGGTAAACAGCGCCCCCTTACTATCGTATTGGTGACGAAAACCTCTCAATCGCTAGTCAGCTGACCAAGCATCACTTCTGTGGTTACGTTCATCGAATATCGAAAATAAAAGTAATTTTTCCATCATAAAAAATCGAGGACATTGCTGGATAATTCCTAAGTGTAATAATAATTTCCACTGTTTGGTACTAAGATGTGAAGTTGATATAAAGATTCCAAAAAGTTTATTTTCCATTAAATAGGATAATGGAAGTGAAAACAAGGTCAAATATTTTCTTAAGTGAAAACATAACTTAAATCTCCAAAACACTATTGAAACAAGTGAGAAGTATTTTTTTCTAATATAGGGGAGAGTGACGCAAAATGAAACAGTGGGGCAAAATGAGACATGGGGCAAAATGGAACAGTCAACAAATGACTGTATGACGCAATTCAAGCAAAAATGTTCTTTTATTAAATATATTTTTCGTCTACTTTTTTTTATTCTTGGGAGTACCTTTTTCTTCTTTCGGTGTTTATTTCTTCAGTGACTTTGTCCCCCTGGACCTCCTCCCGCGCCGACACTCCATCACCCTCGGCTTTGCCTCGGTTTTCAACCTTCGCACTCGTTCAAACAACGTTTTGCGTCATTGTGACGAAAATATACAATTTTAAATGACAGTGATGGCGGCTTCCATCAGAATGTGAAAAAAAATAACTTTTGCCACTCGGACGTGATGCACCAGATTACGGTCGAATGAAAAATTGCTAGCAGGTGGCTGCTAGTGACTTTCCGTTCGACCGTAACCTGGTGTATTACGTCCTCCTGACGAAAATAGCTATTTTAGGCGTTATGTCAAAATGAACTATTTCGGCCTTTTGACGACAATAGTCGGTAAGAGTGCCCGGCGCGTATCTGGGAGACCCGGGTTCGATTCCCGGCTGGGTGAAACGGAAATTTTTTCTCTCTAAATTCCAATTCTCTTAGAATTCTTTAATGCCTAAAGGAAGTTATTCTCTTAGAATTTTTTTTTTAAGAGAATTCGAATTAAGAGAGAAAAAAATTTCCGCATCACCCAACCGAGAATCGAACCCGGGTCTCCCAGATACGCGCCGGGCACTCTTACCGACTAAGCTACCGGGAACCATAGCAATTCACTCTCAAATTCACCTCAAACACCGCCTTACCTCCTTTAGGCATTAAAGAATTCTAAGAGAATTAGAATTTAGAGGGAAAAAATTTTCGCTTCACTCAGCCGGGAAGCGGTTTGTTTACTTGTAAACAAACAGCAGCAATGACAGAAAACATGATTCAAATGAAAAATGTTCCGTTTATCAAACTAAACATGAATGCTCTTATGCATTTTTCTCTACTCTTATTATGTCCGATGATATTGAGGGACTAATGAATCGTCCATTTTAATAACACGGGCCAAGGGGTAAAATGTGACATTCGGATATCTCACAAAATAATCCAACCAGGAAAAAAATCCATGTATTGAAATATGTTTTGTTGGACAAGGAGAAAATTTGTCATTTGAACTATTTTTTTCTACTGATCACTTTTTTGCATCGTATGTTTGTATAACGACCTTCAAATTTGGATTCTACGCACAAAAAAAAATACCAAGTCAACCGGTAACCCTCAAAATGGATAGCAAATGGTACCTAGCATGTGGTCTGTGGGGCGAACCTCGCAATCATTTTCGGATCCTGAGATATTTTTTAAAAACTCATCCAGAGGGAATTGCGTTAGCTCATTCTTTCACTCTTTTACTGAATTCATGTTACAAACTCCACTAATGTTTTATTGAATTTTTTTCAAGGTCGGTGGAACATACACAAAACCTGTGATTCTTCCCCCACAAATTGTGATTGGAGCCTTCGGAAAAGTGCAAAAAGTTCCTCGTTTTGACTTCGAGGGGAACACAATAACTGCAAATATTATTTTTGTCAGTTGGGCGGCGGATCACCGAGTCGTTGATGGTGTTACAATGGCCCAATTCTCAAATCTGTGGAAGCACTATGTGGAAAATCCCTCCCACCTTCTTGTTTAAAAATCAAAATTTTCCAATGAAAAGTAACAATTTTTACCTCCAAAAATGTCGAAACAAGCGGACAACGGCATTTTGTTTCCGAATGAAAGGCTTGTATTTGAGCGATTTTTCGATTTTCTAATTTTGATGGCAAATGGTCATGGTAATGTTATGAAACGTGGGAAAATTATGTTTTTAGGGTCATGACTGTATATATGTGTGTAACAACTTGGGTTTTTTGTGATCCATTTTTAGAAAATTCAACATAAATACGGTGAAATTTAGCCATAAAAGTCTGAAATTTCGGCTCACGGTACCCTAGTAGAAATCAAATGTCCGAGCACCGTCGCCTGGATTTTCCAGAGGCGACTATCGCATAGCATACGTGTGACTAATGGCGGAACATCCCCGCTAGCGCACCCAATATGTGAGACCCAATGTCCGGGCGTGCGCGCCCACTGAATGTCGCCCTGCCGACCAGAATTTCTACTAGGATAGCTATGATTAAGCTTAACTTGGGTGCGCTGTTTCAGCCCCATTAGTCCAGTAGTTCCTGAGACTTCTTTAATTTTCGTTTTTCCTCAATATCTCAAAACCTAATCCAGCGATTTCAATTTTTCTTTCACAATACTCGTCTCGATGGCCTCTATCTAGATCAATAAATATATATATACCCATTCACACAAAATTCGCAGATATTGCTGTTTTTCTGTTTTTTCATGAAAATTCTTGTTTACACGATAATTTAATAAAAATGGAGATAGCGAGTAGAAATTTTGTATGCTTCTAGCTTTTATAACATAAAAGGTTGATATTATGGATGGGCGCAATCGGCCGAGCGGTTCTTGAGATATTCAACCTTTTGTGTCAAAATATTTCTTCAAATATCCTACTACTGGACGGATTTCAATCTTTTTTCAAAATACTTGTCTCGGTGGCCACTATCTAGATCATAGATGTTTTCGTTCCTTACAATTTTTCATTCTTGTACGCACGATATTTGGAGAAAAATGAAAATAGTAAATTGAAATTTGTTGTGATTATATTAGGTGTACAAATTGATAAGGTGTTTTTTTTTCATCAAAATCAGAGTTTATTATAAAAAAATAAAAAGACATTTAACGGTCAAAATATTCCTCATTATTATCGATGACTTTACTCCACCTCACTGGCAACTGACGAATTCCTTCGCGCAAGAAACTTGGCGATTTTGACTCAATAAATTCATCGATGCTTTTTTGGATCTCGTCGATTGTTTTGAAGTGCTCATCAGCTAGGTGGTGTTGAAGAGACCGAAATAGGTGGTAGCCAGATGGGGCGAGATCAGGCGAGTAAGCCACGTGAGGGAGAACCTCCCATTATAATTGGCAGATAGTATCCTTCGTCGCTTTGGCGATATGCGGTCGAGCGTTGTCATTCTATAGAATCACTTGTCTACTTCCGCTGCCAGTATATGGCCTCTTTTGCTCTAATGCATCGTTCAAATGAATGAGCTGTTGTTGATAACCCTTCGCAGTAATAGTTTGGGCAGGTTTAAGTAGCTCATAATATGTCACACCCTTCATATCCCACCAGATACTCAGTATTACTTTTCTCGCGTAGACATTGGGTTTCGGAGTCGACGTCGATGGTGCGCCGGGAGTTATCCACGATTTTTTGCATTTAGGGTTGTCTTATAACACCCACTCTTCTTCGCCCGTAATGATTTTGTATAAGAAATCTTTTTTTTTAAATCGAGTGAACAGAGATAGCGCCGTCTCCAGTCGTCGCTCCTTATTTTCGGGGCTCAGATCATGAGAAACCCATCTATCTTCCTTTTGAATTTTGCCAAGTTGATGTAGGCGATGAGAAATGCATCGTTGAGTCACTTCGAGTTGTAGTGCAAGCTCTGTTTGGCTTTCAGCAGAATTTTCAGCCAAGAGTTGTTCGAGTTCTTCATCGCTGAATTTTTGCGGTTGACCCGGCCGTTCTCGATCCGAAAGGTCGAAATCTCCGTCTCTAAACCTCTGGTACCACTTTTTACACGTTTTATGTGTTTCAGCGTTATTTCCAAGAGCAATACAAATCATTTAAGTAGCCTCGACAGTATTTTTCTTTAATTGAAATGCAAAAAGAATGCAGTGCCTCAAATGTTGCTTATCGACAGACATCGTGTTTACTACTATTTTTTAAAGTTATGTAAGAAGTATTTACTGCTTCGGTAATTGAACACTACCAACATACAAAATATTGAAATATTAAGTTTTTGAACAAATTATAAACCGCGAAATATAGGGGCACCTTATTAATTGCTACACTTAATATCTCTCACACTCCAATGGAATGAGCATATAAAGACACAGATGAGCAAAACCTATGTCTCGCTATGGGTATGGAGAAGAGTCATGGGCACAAATTGGGGCTTCAGTCCTAAAATCAGCGTGTGGCTGCACAAAATGGTTCTGCTGCCGCGGCTCACGTATGCCGTTCTGGTCTGGTGGCCCCGGGCGGAGAAGGTGGAGATAAGGAACCGGCTAAAGGCCCTCCAGGGTAACTTCCTGAGGGCGGCGACCGGGGCCATGATGAGACGGCTTTTCATGTTAACCTCTTTTAACAATCGAAGCAATTATGAAATGTAAAATTTTGAAAACCCTCACCTGGCGCGACCTTGGGTCAGAGGTCGCCGGGGCTCGGTTAATAATTTGTTGAACTGTTGGGCGCCAGTTGATTTACACAAACCAACAAAGAACGATCAAATGAAAATAATAGGTTCGATTGGAAGACCCTTGGAGTGATGATCGGCGAGAGGAGAGACAGCAGAAATAGTTTATTACTTACGAATGATGCGACAGCTCGGGAATCGACTCTCTGCGGTAATCTCCAACGGTGTATATTGTACTAATTGATCGAGGTCACTCAAATAATAACGATACAGAACATACAATGAAACAACATTTAATATTCAAATAAATGAAAATATAGCAGAGATTGCTAGACAACGGTAATTGAATAATGGTGCGTAATAGTCGAATATACAGCGTGACAACTCGTGGTAACGCGCAAGCGAGAGTGCCCTTCGACTTGTTGCTTCCCGTCGGGCTCTGGTCCGATCGATATTTTAGGCGCACGCGCCGTCTAATTTGCTTCGCTCTGGCACTCGAGTAGGCGCGTAGAAATACGATTTAAATAAATTTCTTACGATAATTTAATGGTTTTAACTGATCGGTACTTAAACTATTTTAATTAGGAGATTCCCGAGGTGTCAGATCGGACTCTACGCCGGGGAAATACTATCTTTTCACATTCTTCCCCTTCGAACCCTGGCGTATAGTAGCGAGATGACAACTGTCGCTCTTTTGATCGACCTGTTTTGGTAAAGAAAGATTATTTTGAAAATTCAACAAAGTGAAATTAATGTGAGCAATAAACGATCTCTGCTGAGTGAGGTAAAGAAATGTTTGATATGTTAATGAATTGAAATGATCCTTGATCGAATTAACGTAATAATAATAAAGAGGAATAATAATGAAAACAATGTTGTTGATCGTTGGGCTCCTCGGCTGGATGTCGTTGCTCGGATGATCGAGGACATTCTACTTCTGGTATTTGGTTGAGTTGATAGCCGAGAAGATCGTCCCATCTGGAAACTCAGGTCTTTCTTCCATTATACGATCGAGTTTCTCGTCTGCTTCAGGCGTGAAAAGTGCTTGGAAGGCGAGCTGACGTCTTTCTTCTGTCAATTTCATTGCTCTGGCTGCCAGTAGAATCTGAAGGTCTTTTACACCATGGAGAGCCTTCTCACGGACCAGACATGCTCTTACGCGGTTCTCGTAGTCCTTGGGATCATCAAATTTGGTGATGCCTTTCCTTCTCAAGCTTGATCCTGCCGCTCCCACCATGTAGCGATGGTCCTCAGGGATCAAGTGCTCTGGCCAGGTGGCGTAGGTGAGTCGGAGATACTTTCGATGTTCCTTGTGGCGAATGTTGCACTCAGGACATTCTGGGCAGTATAGTTCTAGGGGTCGTGAGCACCCTGAGCATTTATCCAGTGCGTGTTCATGCTCAACTCCGTGTGGGAAAGGGCAGTCTGCTTCATCAAATCCGTCTGCTCCACAAATCTTGCAGAACCCTGGACGGAATGGGATGCTGCAGTCCTTGAATTGGTGAGCGGCTGATCTGCAATTGACGCATCCACGATGGTACTGCTTCTGGCACTGGGTGACGTATGTTTGGGTACCCACATCAACGCTCTGCGGTTTGTCCTTCAGCATTTTCTGCAGTAATCCTTTTGCCCGTTTTGTGATCAAATCCTTGAGTAATAGTAGGCTGATGATTCTCGCATCAACCATATATAAAGGCTGCTGTTTGCCTGGGGCGTTGATCAAGTTCGACTCCCAGCTCTTGGAGGGTTTCGGCGAAGGAAGGCATTCCTTTAATTGGGGCTGGTTTAATAGTGATCGATGGAGCCAGCTGAGTCTGGATCGTTGACTTTAGTCAATACTACGCCAGTTACTTTATCTGTCTTCACTGCGTGTTTGAGAATAGCAAGGCGTTGTCTTCGATCATTTTTTTGTTCGATCTCTTTTGCTGTAATGATCGGAGTGTGTTTCTGTCGGGTGGACTGTAAGTCTGGATATTTCAAGTTCCTTATCTCTGTGAGGAGCTGTTCAATTTCGGCTCCTTTTGAACTTGTTCCAGGAGTCGTTTCAGTCAGAATCATTTCCGCTGACGTATATGAGTCAACAGAAACCTCACTGGAGTTCTCACCTGAGGTCTGGGAAGGGCTGGATGCTTCTGATGAAGAGTCAGGTTTGACTGGGGTCGTTGACTTTTCAATCAGGGGATCTTCCTCGGCAAGACTAGCTCCGAGTAATTCACCAGTCTGTACCGAGTCAGTTGATTCTACTGGAAAAGTTGTCTTCTCTTCCTCTGATATGCAGAGCTCAGTATTGTTTGATAGTTTTATTCCGATCTCATCAGGGTTGTTATCTGTCTTGCTCGATGGGGTTTCGATCTCTCGTGTCGCCTCAACCATTGCCTCGACTTTGGTCGATCCTGGGTCTTCTCGTAGTTCCCGAATGATTCCTTGTGATGATGGCTTTGTTGAAATTTCTTCGATCTCCATGTTAGTTATGAATGAGCCAATGAGTGTTATGGATGATTGGGGTATCTGGGAAAAATAAATTTAATTAATTCTCAGGCTTCTACGAGGAATTTTTAGATCTGTTACATAATATTTTCCTAGACTCTTATCTTTTCTATCTACCAGTTCTACGATCACAGGCTCAACTAATCGTTTAACAATGGCTGGACCAATATATCTGTGAGCTAACTTGAATGAATAACCGTCTCCCTTATTGCTAAGTTTCTTATTGGGGTAGTAAACCTCGGTTCCCACTTTGATTTCTACATTCAAACTTTTGCCGATATTGGCTTTGGCTAGACGTTTGTCCGAATACCTTTTTAACTGATCTTCAATTTTGTGTCGGAATTCATCGATCGTCTTTATTCTTTTCACCCATTCTTTGACAGTGTCATCAAATGAACTTTGATTCGGATTCTCTTCCAATTTTGTGACATGTTTAGCTACAGCTTCGCGTCCATGGTTCAAAAAATATGGAGAAATCCTACTTCC